TACTCGGTATCCATGTGTGGGTATTTGAGTTTGCAGATTCCAATAGACTGGAGAGTGATCTTGAAGAGTTGAATTGCTCTTTGGATTTAGTTGCATCAGAGGTTGGTTCTCCATTGACAACAATTTTTTTCTTTTACTATTTGTTTCAAACTAGTTCTTCTGCGGTTAGAAAAATAATATTAGCTCAAGTTTGTTTAAAGCAATTGATGATGATGGATTTTGTGTACTATCTAGTTGGGTCAGGGGAAGGCTAAGAGGATCCACATGCTGATTGCTCTAACGATGGAGAAGATCAATCAGATATGATAAAAATTCATGAAGACCAGAAATTTGAGGTGTTAATCCTGAACACTTTTGTTTAGTATTTCCATGATTGGTTTGTGAATTATTTTATATGACACTTGTGTACCTTCCAGCTTTTAGAACTTGAAAGTGGTATTAACTCCTTGCAAGATCTCAATTCTATGTACAAATTGTAGTGACCTACTTGAATGTTGTACTGACTACCAGGTTTGTGGATCTGCAGTAAATTCTTGTAGTAGTTTGACTTTTAACAACACTTGAACAATATAACTGGAGGTAAGTAATTAAATTTTGTATTATATTATATATGTGGATTATCAACCATGGTTAAAAAAAAAAAAAAAAGAGAGAGAGAGAGAGAGAATATGTTGCTTGATCCGAATGCTTTTAATTGAATCTTTAAGAACCCATACTCTTGTATAGTGTTCATAAAATTATAGATACCGTGCTAGAAAAGCTTGAAGTTCCCATCTTATTTATTCTATTGATGATAACCACGAAATATTCAGACAGAAGTCACTTGATCAAAAATTAGCAAGCCAAAAAAACACACGACAGCAGAAATTATTAAAATATTTGGTAGGTAGCACACTGGATTGATTAAGAAGCCAAACAAGGATTCAATTCAACTGGGTAACAACACATTAATTTAAAGAAAGACTATAACTCTGGATTAACGTATACCGTCAACATGAAATAAAGTCATTGTTTGATATGACATAAAAGAATTCAATACACAAAATCGTGCATACACCCAAATGCATTAAGTCAACATGAAACTAAATACTGATTTTCACACCTAAGGTTAAACTAACCTTGATTGAATTTTCGAGCACACCAACCATCTACAGCGTCACAAACAAAGCTGCAGTAATATTGTAAACATAATAAATTATTCTTATTAAAATTCTTAAAAATCAATAAATTAATTCCTATTCCTACTCTTGAGAGAAGTTGTAAATTATCTGAAATATGTAGAATCAATATCGTATTGGTATTGGAAATTATTAATTTAACTCTTAATCAAATTTCTTTTCGTAAAGGCATATCACAAATTTGTTACATAAATAGGAGTATACTTCTTTGACACAAGAAACCATAATTCCCTATATCAATTTAAATCCTTGCCAAAAAATAAAATAAAAAAAGATCTACAGTAATTTCTAACTCTTATATAGATAGTAGTATCGAAAAACACTAGTTTAGAACAATTATGAATTGAGAAATTTAATTGCAATGTCTTGAAACATTTTTTTTTTTTAAAAGAAAAAAGAAAAATACAAAATTAAAAGGGTAATTTTAGATATTATATAGAAATATGGGCTAATAATTTAATTGTTGGGATACGTATACAGCATCAATCATTAATAAATTACTCTTATTAAAATTCATAAAAATCAATAAATTTATTCTTATTTAAATTCTTACTCCTACTCTATTAGTAGAATCAGTATCCTATTGGTATTAGAAATTAATAAATTTAACTCTTATTCAAATTTCTATTCCTACTCATAAAAGCATATCACAAACTTATTATATATATATACTAGTATACTTCTTTGACATAAGAAACCATAATTCCCTCCCTGTATCAAATTTCTTGAAATTTCCCATTCAATTCCATGGCAAACCTTTTGAAAAAAAACGTTAACTCTGTTACAGAGCAAATTCGAAAAGAAAGAGGAGAAAGACCATAGGGATGATGAGGAGGAGAAGATGATTTGGGAGTCACTTTCGGAAGATATATTAGGTGAAATTATCCGCAAATTAAGTTTACGTGATGCTCTTAGTATGAGTAGGACTTGCATGTCAGGGAGATCAGCATTGCAAAACAATGTCCGAAACATTGTCATCTTCCCGTGGATGATGTTACCTTATGAAAGGGAAACCAATTGTGTGAGATTCTTTGATTTGTGTGGAGGCTTTCTTTATAAATTCAACCTCCCCAAGAAATTAGGAAGAGTCAATTGGTTTTTTGGATCTTCCAAAGGTTGGCTTATAATTGCTAATGGCCCTCAACGCAATCCCCGAAGTTTTCTCTTCAATCCAATCTCAGGTATACATATTCAGCTACCTCCTCTCACGACAATTCCATCTTTTCAAACTTACCTAACTTACCAATCTGAATTGAAAGTTTCAAGAGATATTGATCACTTTTTTGTTAAATTCGAATTATCATCGACAGATTCTAAAGACGTTATAGTTGCAGGAATCATGTTTCCATATGATAAGTTGGCAATTTGCAGGCCAAAAGACAAGAGTTGGACTATCTGGGATTATGATACTTATTTACGAGACATCCTATATTCCAATGGAATATTGCATGCTTTGATCCACACAGAATTACATTTTCTTGAAACACATCCATTGAGGGTAGGGGATGAGGATGTTATTCTCAAAATATTATCAGTCCCTTATCCTGATGTCCAACAAAATAATGAAATTGAATTTGAATTAGGATTGACATCGGTTTGTGGAGGGTTCGTGTCATATTTGGTGGAGTCCAAAGGTGAAATTTTACTTGTTCAAAAGATGCTTGAACATATAGCTACTGAAATAGACTACTATGATCATTATGATACTACGTGTCTATTTACGTATAACTCAACTCGTGGATTTTATGTGTTGAAGATTGGTTATCCTACTATCGCATCCATTGATATAACTAGGTTAAATAGCTTGGATGATCAAATATTATTTGTGTCACAACACAGTTCATACATTCTAGATAGAAATCTCAACTATTTGGAAGGGAATTGCATTTTCTTTTTGGATGAGAATGGTCATGTTTACGAGGAAGATTATGATCAAGGAGAAAATCTTCTATTTTGTGAACCACATCCCTCTCGCGAATCGGGTATTTTTTACTTTAAAGATAAAAGAATATTACGCGCTTTCCCAAGTCTCAAGAATTTACCACATTTTCAAATGCATTGGTTTTAACCCAATATATGGTAAAAACAAAGTTGAAGTAATCCATAGGTTTTATTTATTTATTTTTATCATATCTTACATGTATAAGCCCTGAGTCAATGTTAACTTGTTTCTCTTTATTCATTAATATAATCTCTATTACAAGTAAAACAATTGTTATGTAATATAGAGTTTGTAGTATTTGGGGTGCTAGTTATGCGTGTACTCTAATAAGTATTACATGAAATCTTAATTTATTTTGAAATGAATTTGTAGAAAATTGTGTAGAAAAGAGATAAACAATTGTTCATCTTAGAAGAATGCTGAAATTAAATAATTAAGTTTTGGTGCAAGGCACTTGCACTTGGATTTGGTTTGCCTCTTTTGATGAATCATGAATGTTGGTCGACCACGTATCTAAGCAAGCTGCTAGCCTGCTAGATACTTTTTACAAATTAATTAGGTAAAGAACGAATCCACATTCACCACCTGATTCAATCATAACTCAAAAGGTTCATGGAAATTGCCAACTTTGATATGAATTACTTACTTTAGTTTGGTAAAATAACCAAAGCTTTTGACCTTATCTTATCCTTATCCTTGTATATTGACGCGGGCATTCGTCAAGTTTGAGAAACTAACACCGACAACAATCTAGCTATTTCCAATTCTTAAGAAAATTACAGATAATGTGTAACATGGACATGTTTAGAAAACTTAATGTTAATCAATGGTCATCTTTGATAAATCAAAATTTTTATTGCAATAACAAGTGTAATTTGAACCAATAATCATAATTGTCAACAGAATTCTTGATAAAATTAAAAGGATGCATACATGAACTGACATTAATAAAACAGGTCCTTGGCCAGAACTCTTCATAAAATTTGTATAATTTGTTCAACATTTAGCTGGGTAAAATTGAAAGGATGCAAACATTATCATTGTTAGATCTTGCAGGAATAAGACCTCTGAAGAAATGTATATACATGAGCAGACATGAATAAACAGATATCCGGAGCATAAAGATTAGCAGATAAGCTATTTAGAGACACCTGAAGTTTCCAAGATAATAAGGATGAAGACCAGAATATTTACACTTCCAAAACCTGACGACTTGAATTAACTAAACACAATCCCACATGAGTGTCACAGCCGTGGTACTTCTTTCAGGGGGCAAGCCAAACTGGATAGCTCTCTCTTAAGGAGCCAGAGTCAACGCGATTCGTGTTCACATATTTGATGAATCATGTGAAGATACAAGTATGATTTTGAAGCTAAAAAATAAAATGGGAAGTGGGTGGGAGGACACATTGCATATATGTAGCTGATATAATGTGTTTATATCCAAATCGAAATCATGTTGACAATTGACATTGTGTTTAGGAAAAGATTCATTCGGTCTCCACCATCTTCTAGTACATATTGGGCATATGGTAGCAGAATAAAGGTAAATTGAACACAGTTTTCCATCTCGACCGCACCCACTCACTTCAGAAGTTGATCAGTATTTGAGCAGAGTAAGGGCTTCTGAAGCGACCTCTGCGTCATCATCATCAATAAGCCATCAGATAAATGGCCTTCAAGATTTGCATGATTCTGTCGATAAGTTGCTTCAATTGTCCCTGATTCAACAAGCTTTAGCCCAAGATGAGCAAAAGAAAGGGGTTGATGAGCTGTTGAATGGATCTCTGAGACTCTTGGATCTCTGTAGCATTGCTAAGGATTCCTTGTTGCAAACGAAGGAATGTGTAAAAGGACTTCAATCGATTTAGCGCAGAAGAATGGCTGATGATATAGAACATGTTAAGAAGTATTTAACCTCCAGGAAAGCAATGAAAAAGGCAACCCACAAGGCCTTGGTGAATTTGAAGGGCATGCAAAACAAATGCGCCTCTGCAATCAATGAGAAAAACGAGACTAAGGCCACAATCAGCATGTTAAGAGAGGTTGAAGCAATCACTTTCACTGTGACCGAATCCTTGTTGTCCTTTATCTCAGGGCCAAGGACTCCATCAAAGCTAAGCAGCTGGTCATTAGTTTCCAAGCTAATGGAACCAAAAAGAATTGCATGTGAGGAAGATGAAGCAGACATAAATGTGTTCGAAAAGGTGGATGCTGCATTGTCTACCATCATTAGTCAAAAGACAGGCAAATCTGATAACATCTCTCACGTTCTAAACCAGCTTAAAGAATTGGAATGCAACATTCAAGATCTTGAAGAAGGACTTGAGTGCTTGTCTAGGCGATTGATCAGAACGCGAGTGCCCCTTCTCAACATCCTCAAGAATTAGATTAAACAATTTTGATATCCGTTTTTAGGTAGGAAAATAGGGTTAAGAGTCCAAAACCAAATAGAATTAAGAAAAATAAAAGTCTAACCCTTGTGGGATATAAATAGAAGTCTTTTACCATTATTTGGGAGATTCCTTGGAGAGAAGAAGAGGAGAAAAATCTGCAGAGAAGAGAAGTAACAGAAGTTCTGGAGCTTTGATTCATAGCATAGAGAAGTTTTTCTTGTTCTTTTCTTATAAACTCATGATAATTGTTTTAATAAAGATAATTATTTCTTTCATATTTATTATGAACTAAATTTATTCTTTAGAACTACGACGTAGCTAGCTCAATCTCTTGATTATGTATTGATTTTTGCTTGTTTATTTTTATTAAGAATTTTCCTATGTTTTACTATTATACCTAATGGTTTTGATTCTTAAGGGCCCAAGAATTGAATGAACTAATAGACTAGGTTGAGATCGAGAGATGATATTTAGTTGGTCTATAATAGTGAAACCATAGGTTGAGCGAACGCTAGAGATAAGTTATCGCAAATTGTGAGGTTTTGGTAAACTCCATAGAGTGTAATGATCTTCAATTACTTAAATCTAATTAGAGATAATTCAGATTAGTAATTAGGAATTAATTTGATAATTGTTCGAGAGAAATTTATTAGAAATTTAGGGAGTTTGACCTGTAGGAAGAGCTTAATAAAATTAGCATAAGTGATTGATACATATGAGTAAGAGTTGATGTGAAGTCTATGCCCCATGACTAGTCATCTTATTTTTACCCAAAGGATTGTTTTAATTGTTCTCTTTTTAATTTCAATTGTTAATTTTATTTAATTTAGGTTTTCCTTGATACAATTTGGATTGATCAAATAGTAATAGGATAATTTAATTGGTAATTGATAATAGTAATTCCCTTGGATTCGATATCCGTATTTATACACTTTATTACTTGCACGATTTTGTACACTTGCGAAAATCTACAACAATAATGTTTTTACTAAACATGTAGAGTTGACAGTGAAAATAAGAGAGAACGTATTATACAACCATGATCAGTTTCAATGATATAAAAATAAATAAATTAAATGAGGATAGAAGTTTGACACGGCTACAGAATTAAAAGTTTTCCAAAAGTCTATAAGTTCAAATAGAATATGTACATAGATCTCAATTCTCTATTGGGAAAAATTAATTGAAAATGTTATGAAGCCAAAACAGGGTCGTTTCATTTAAGTTAATTGAAGGAATCCTGGATGTCAGATCAAGACAGATCCAAGGGCTGACATTTGCTGATATGGGCATATATAAAAGGAGCAATAGTGTTGTGAACAACCGTATTATTCTAATATGAAAAGTTAGGGTTCGTGGGAGAAAATTAGAGAGCAACTAGGGTTGGGTATTTGCTGAGGCTTTCTGGGAATAATCTGGGTAGATTAGAGAGAGGGTTACGTTTCCTTCTTGAGGCTAGTTTAGTCCTCTGTTTCTGGCAAATTGTAGAGAGTTTTCTTGAGCGAATAGGCCCAGGTAGAGGGTTGCTCTGTATCGGCAGTTTTGTATGATTTTCTTCTTGTAATTGTTGGATAATCCTTTATTAGTGTTGTGAGTATCCGTATTTCAGAGCTCAACGTGGATGTAATTTATCCAAGATTTGATAGACTTTTTTTTGGATAAGGTAAGTATGTATAAAAGACAAAAAAATATACAAATACGAGGGGCATACCCCAAGAGGATGGCTGATAACTATCAGTCAAGAACACATGGGAAAACCCACAAAGTCATGAACAACAAAAGAGAGCACGCAGGCTCCCCACAAAGCAAGAAGATGCCATAAAAAAAGCCATAAACCGGCATAAAGAGCACGCAGGCTCACCATTAACACAAAGCCACAAACCAGCAAAAAAGAGCACGCAGGCTCACCACAAACACAAAGTCATAAACCGACACAAAAGAGCATGCAGGTCCCTTACAAAGCTAGTCAGGAAGATGCCATATCACACGGAGCTAAGGCGAGATCTCATACTTAGGTGCTAGACCCAAAATCTTGACCCGAACTAGATCACAAATAGCTAAGACAATATCTCTGCGGGAGCTACAATGCTGACGAAACACGCGATTATTCCGTTCAAACCAAAGGAAATAAACTGTGGCTGAAAGGACTACCGGTAAGAAGGTGCTGAAGTCACCTTTTCGTCGAAGATGCAAACTAGCCCACTGAAGCGAGGGAGCCAGGAGAGAGTAGGCCATGTAGAAAGCGTCCTGGTAGTGACCTCCTGCCAAACATAACTGGAAAGTCACATCTGAAAACAAATGGTCATGGGTCTCCGTAGCTGATCTGCACAAACACATCGGGAGGACGTATGACACCATGAGAGCTGAGCCGATCCTGGTGTTAAGCCGACCAAGAGAAGCGACCCAGAGAATGAAAGAGTGACGTGGAATATGCCCGGGAAACCATGAGATGATGAATCGAGTTCCACATCTCGTTTGTCTCGCAACCATTCCAGGCTGAATCAATAGAGAACCGTCCAGTGGTTGGCCCTTCCACACAATATGGTCAGGATGACTCGCTGAGGCTGCACTGTAATAGATTCCAGGTATGCAAGGTCTGAACTGCCCGAAGGAAAGTCTCACAAACCATCCCGAATAATGTCTGAAACCCGCATCCCACGCAACCCAGTGGAAGTCAAGGTTCTAAAGGGAGCAAGTCACCAGAGGACCCTGCGGAAGCCATGATCTCGCCATAACATGGTGTCCCTACCATCTCCAATACAAGTCCAATAGTCCCCGGCACCAAACCCTACTAAGTAATCTTCCTCCAAGCCCATGAAGCCCCAGAAGTCCTCGGATATGCCAAAAGGACCGACCACGGAGGAGAACCGAATGGGCCCAAGAAGACCATATAGAAGATCTATCAGTAAGTACCTCCAACATGTTTGAAATAGCGCCCTATTCCAATCTTGGATCCTCTTAATCCCCAGGCCACCCTCCGTCAATGGATAGCAAACAAAACCATGCAACCTTAGCACCAGAATGGGACAGAGAAGTACCCTTCCAAAGAAATGAGGCCAAAATACTCTCAATCCGTCTAACTGTAGCTACCGGCAGAGAAACATGGAGACCAATAAACCTTATGGAGAAAAGTACCGACTTTATCAACTGTAGTCGGCCTGCATAGGTCAAAGATGCCGACGTCCATACCTAATCTGAGAGAGAATTCGCTCCAACAGGCCTACAATCAGAGTGTCGAAGGCGGGTAGAGATTAAGGAGCCCCTAGATATCTTACCGGTAACTGGCCCAGCTGGAACCCCATGATAGACTGTAACCCAATCTGCTCCTCTCTGTAACTCAGAAAGAAACAATTGGCTCTTCTCTGCATTGTCACTAATCCAGAAACCTTAGCAAAATAATCCAAGGCCGATTTGATCAAGCTAACAGAGGAAGCATCTGCTCTACAAAACCCCATCAAATCATCTGCAAAACACAAATGAGTAAGCTGCTTGCCTACATCTCCAATGCTGAAACCAGGGCTGTGAAGGTTTCCGGAAAAATACCAGCTAACCCCCATAGCCAAACAAAAAGGTAAGGAGAAAGAGGGTCCCCTTGCCGCACACCCCGGGAGGACCTAAAAATCCGTGAAGCTCTCCGTTCAGGGCACAGAGAAATACGGTGTAGAAATACATGTCATGATCCACCTCACCATACCTCTCAGGAAACCCCACAGTACGCAATCCCAAAAGGATGAACTCCCAACTCAGTATCAAAAGCTTTCCGAATATCAACTTTAGGGCACATCGAGGTGAAGTACCCCCAAGATGGTAATTCTGCAAAGCTCATAGTCAGCAGAATATTATCAGAAATCCTTCGACCCGGGACAAAAGCTGACTGGGAAACCCCAATAATATTCGGAAGCACAACTTTAAACCGATTCACAATCACCTTAGTAATGCACTTGTAAATACATTACAACAGATATCGGCCTAAAGTCTGTCATACGACCCGGGCTTTCCACCTTAGGAACCAAAGCATTCCTGTGGCATTAACACATCTTGAGATTTCATTAGTAGCAAAAAAATGCCTCACTGCATCCCTGAAATCTGTACCAATAATATCCCATGCCCGCTTAAAAAACAAAGATGTGAATCCATCCGGGCCGGGATTTATCGTCCGGGATAGAGAATAAAGCAATCCTAATCTCATCATCAGTGATAGGAGCAGTCAATGGAGAAATCATATCAGGAGAAATGCGGCCAGAAAAATACCTGAAAGCCTCGGCAATCTGAGGTCGACTAGGGGCAGTAAAAGATCCTGAAAAAAACCCACCGCCAAACGCCCTAATCCCTGACTGTCAGTAATATTGTACCATGCCCATCTCAACCGTGGATGCGGTTCCGAACCTGCCTATGGATCAACAACTTATGAAAGAACTTAGTATTCTGATCCCCTAAGTGCAACCACTGAACACGAGACCGCTGCTTAAAGAAAGCCTCCTCATCTCGACAAAGACTGAAATACTGGTTGGCAAGGTTCCTCTCCTCAGAGACCACTCAGTGAAAAAGGGGTCCCGATCCAATTTCCCGGGCTGCTGCCCACCGAGCCCGAGCCTCAATTACCCTGCTGGAGATATGATTGGAAACCCGAATATGTAAAGCTTTTAGCTTCCATTTCACTCCCCAATTTCTGCGTAAGACGAAACATAGGATTGCCTACAAGAGGCTCGTCCCAAACTGCCTGACAATATCCCTAAAATTTGCATGATCAGCCCAAAAATTTAGAAATTTAAAAGGGATGGTACCTTGCCACGGCGGGGACCAAATCGGACGATAATAAGCTATGATCTGAAATATCTCAAGGTCGGAACTCTGAAACTGTGCTTGGTCGATCAAGGAACCAAGAAAGCGATGCAAAGACCCAATCGAGCTTTCGTAAAATAAACCCATCGCCCTGTTGACCGTTATGCCAAGTATACCGAAGCCCAGTAAAAGGAACCCCAATCAACTCAGCA